AGTTTGATGTTCAAAACAGGGAGATATGATCAAAATATCAGATATAAAGAATAATTTCTTGACTTCATACTCCAACAGTCCAACTGGCTAATGTTTTTGCATTGATCTGGTTTAAGTTGAAGTGAAAGACAGGTATAGTCAAAGTAAACAAAAGACCAGAGACTGAATTGATGCTTCATATTGGGTGATAGGCAAAGTCAAGAGTCAAAGATGTTTGAAGGTTGGACATGGTTCAGCTGCTTGATGTTCTTTCCACAGGCTGGTTGAGTAATTATCCTATAAACCTTTTGGAATGCTGAAGTTAGGTATGGGTCAAAGTAAATGTGGATTGGTCAAAATCCATTGTTAGTGAGGTTTTTTTTTTTCTTTTTTGGTTGGTAAATAGGGTTTGAATTCATAGGGCATGTTAAATGGATTGGATTTGGGCAGAATAACTTCCACGCTTCCTGTGTTGGAAAGGAAAATATACTTTTGGGTGGGAAAAAGTTCTGATGGCAACCCTAAAAGAAAAAGTTTCTAAGGATAAATCATATGCTTAGAACTTAGAAGTTATCTAATCATGAGAGTTTTCTTTTTTCCTTATATAATCTTTTAGGTATGGCCCATACAGAGGTGGGCCCCGAGTCCAAAATGGTAAAAAAAAGGGGCTGGTTGGTGGATTGGAAATAATCGTCTAATCTAGACATAAGTGCATCAGTTTGAGGTTGAGGATGATTCAAATTTTCAATCTTTACATTACTCAAGTGCCCTTATTTAAGCAGCTGTCTACTGATAGAATTGATTGTTGGATGCATGTCAAATCCTGATTGGTATTTCAATCCTTTATAAGTGGGTAAGGAGGTTCTGTTTGGATAAACTTTTCCTTGAGCTTTGGGTGTGAAAGACAAAGTTGGGCCAAAATACTGTTTTTTGTGTTTGGTAAGAATTCATTTTAAAATTATTATAATCTAAACTAAAACACTTTTAAGCCACAAAACACAAAATCTAAAATTGGGGTTTTGTGCTCTTAAGCTTAAAAAGCACAAATCCTGAACCACAACCTAAATAATCTCTTCTAAGCAAATACTTCAAAAGCATAACTCAGATACCTTCTATTTTCCTTTGTTTTCCTTGTGAATCTCACTTTAACCCCCCAACACAAATACATGCATCCTTTGTAAGATACTTTGGAATAACATTATTATCATAAAAAACAGTCATTTTCAAAGATATGTGTCTATATTTGATAGGGTGGCATCACTTAATACAACCAATAAGCAACTCTTATAAATAGATCTCGATCCAGGGTTACATACAATTACAGCTTCAGAAAATTGTCGATTCAAATGTTTTGATTTGAAAGCATTTCATGAAAGTAAAATAATTATTTATGATTGCTGGAGAAACAATTATTCAAAAAAAAATGTAATGTTTTTATTATAATGTTTGATTTCAAGTTTCATATAAGATCTAAATTTTAGTACTTCTTATAGGAGGAGTTCTACAGAAAGAATAATCTCCTGGATAACCAGTTCTGTAAGGGAACACTCATGAAATAAGTTTATGATCTCATCCCAGACTCCAAGTAAAATGACTTATCTAATGATGTAAGTTTTTTTTTTCTATTTCAATACAAGTTAGTTGTTGTGAAAATAGCAAAATCAGAAACAAGAAAAACGATTGGCAAAAGGAGAAATGGAAAGAAAAGAATGTAAAATAGAGTAACACAAAATAATACATAAATTTATATATCCAAGGTTCAAAAGATTGACATGTATTGGCCCGTATCGGCCAATAGTATCGTATTGGGAGCCCCCCGATACACCCCTACAGAGGGTGTATCGGGTTCTGACCGGTTCAGGGGGTGGAGGAGCTTTAAACCGCCCCCCTGAACCGATTTTGAAAAAAAAAAACTAAAAAAACAGTATCAATGGCATATCAATATTTAGAACCTTATATATATGTCTTACATCAACATCCAACCGGTCCAATAGGATCAGGTTTAGCCTAATGCCATACCCTATCCGTATTTGTACCAGTTGTAAAGGGATAGTAGGGTGGAAATTGCTATTCCTATTTTCATTCTTAAATAGGGAACCTCTACTTATTAGAGTGCGTTTTGGAAATATGCCCATTGCACCAACTTTATGTTATTATAAACAAAAAGTATCAATTTTATCCCTTCATTGGAGATTCGACCATTTATTAAAAAAATAGAAGTATGTGCTCAAATAACCAAAACTAACAAGGAATAAAAGAAGAGTGGAGAAAAAGAGCCACAAGATTAAATCCCTACGCTTCTAAGAACTGATATGGGTTGTCAGGCATCTAAATATATAATTAGAACAAGAATATATATTATAAAATGTTTACTTGATCCATTACAACATATTGGTTTATCCTTTCTTTCCTTGATGGAAAGTGGAAAGGGAATTGGAGTTTTGATTGTAAAATGTCAAAGTACATTTTGTGAAAAATGAATAGATAAAAAGTAAGCAAACTTTAACATGATTAGTTGAGATCTGGATTTAACATACAGCCAATATTAAATAGAAAATACACTGTAATTGAACTCTTAAGTTGTTCCTTCAAATTCATTTCTTTAAATGACTCCCCCTTTACATCTCCTATTAATTCATGTTTTTCAAAATCGGACGGACCAAAACCAGATTTTTGCTAAAAAACGTTGATTTGGTCAGTAAATCGCTGATCCAGGCAGTTGAATTATTCGAACCATTCAATGGTTTTGATCATTTTTTATTTTTTATTTTTTTTGTTAGAACAGACTATCTGTTCAGTTCGAACGGTCAGTCCATTCAACCTGGGAACCGGATCCCTGACCGATTCATTGTCCGGGTCAGGTTTTAAAAACCTTAGATTAAGTCATGCCATTGGCTTTATCCACTTAATAACCCTCCACTAATCTCCACTCAATAACTCTACATTACAGCCACCGAAACTTACACCAGCCAACTAAGTACAGCAGAGTTTTCTCATGAGAATAACACATGCTCAGCCCATTTCTCTAGCAGATAGCATGACTATCCTTGTGATAATCCTGATGCTTCAGCCACTTATTATTATCATAAGAGTTTTAAATTTTAACTTACATTTTCTTTTGTTTGTGTAAGTGGATCAATAAATTTTAAGAAACAATTGATTATTAAAGTCAATATTTATAAAAATTGATAATAATTGGTTTTCTAAGAATTAGCATATATATATATATATATATACAAGTCCTAGTTATTACTATTCTATCATTTTTCAGCATTTCTTAATTGTTTTATGATGGTCCATACTTCACATGAGCTATTGAAATATGCGTTTATTATGTTTATATATCTCATTCATCTATACTATGTTTTAAAAAGCAGTTATCTATTTCAGACTCCTTATATTGCTTCACAACCCTTTTAGAATTTTGTGGATTTTTTTTTTTGAATTTTCAACAAATATATAATTAAATATGAGATTATCTATTTAATCTCACTTACAACTGATTCAGTTAATAAACTGATTGTAACATGAACATCTTTTTAATGACTCCGGATCTCATACCCACAAGAACTCTACCCATGCATGCCTGCCTTGGGAACATCTCCCCATGCATAATAACACATAGGAAGTTTTGATGTTCGCCATATGTGGCTGTAATGTTATTTGGGTAGGTGTGGATAGAGTTGTCTTGAATAAAAAATCCGGATACCACCCTATGCATCGCCTGAATATATTTCTTCTACCGTAATTATCTAAGAACCAGATTTAGTTCATTAATATAACTTTTGGGATTTATTCGAGTTTTTCCAATGTATTCATGTTTATCCATGCATATCCTAAAATATTTATCCAAAATTTATCCCAATACATCTCTTAAAATTACTTTTTCATTCTCTTTTCATTTCCAAAGCTCTTTTTTTTTTTTAACTTTGATTTATTTTGATCTCAATCAAAACATGGCGTGCGTTGGAAGGTTGGGTGGAGTTCTTTTCTAAATTCCTTACTTCGAAAAGCTTAAAAGAAGAGGAATTTAGAAACACCAAGGGATCTGTTGGACTATAATAGTAGCACTTTTTTTTTTAGGGTTTCGTTCACCATCCGTAAAAAGATATGGACAGAATGGTTTAATAAACAAATTCTATCGGTCTCTAACACACATTCAGACACCCTACGTGTCTTCCTTCTGACATCCACACCCTTATTATTTTAAGCTTCCAATAACCTGAAAACGGTATCCTACAAGCACATGCTTAATAAACAAATGAATAATGGAGGTCACCACGTATCAAACTCCTAGGAATACTCCCAGAAGATGGTCTCACCAAATCAAACAGGTGGTAGATACCCATTGGGCTCTAGTCCACTTAATGTTTTTAAGCTATTCTTTTAGAGAAATGCTTTCTTTTCTCCTACGTTTACAGCTGTGAACTCTCAAAAGGGCTATTAGTTTTAGCTTGTAGACATAAGCCCCAACACATACGTGTCCGGTGGCTATGAGCTTCCTTTTTCTTTCTTTTCCCTGTATATCTATATTAGATTTAGCAACATATAATGTAAATGGCTTGTTTTAACCCAAAAAAGTTGTAATGTAACTTGCTGAGGCATGCCAGCCAATATGTCAGCATTCCTGAGGTTTATAGAATACCATCATATATTAAGGTTATGGACTACAGCAACCCTAGTGTTGTTTATGATCTGAACTGTTGAATTGGAATCTCAGGATCAGTTGATTGTTAATGATTTTTGGACTCAAAACTGTCACATGAGGTGGCCCACTCATCAAATGGTCTAGATCACTGTAAATAGTTCATGATTGTGAGATGACATGAAGTTCCATGAGGATGCACAAGAATACATGGTAGACCCACTTAGGTCATGGATCAAATACTTGATCATGATGGAGCATAAAGATAGCCTGAACTTAAAGAGTAGATGGATAGAGATTATTTGATAGGGACAGTTAATTGACTGATTGAATGAGGTAGGAATTATGAGCTTATATAAATATGGCAGACATTACAAACTAATGCCATAGAATTAGGAGGGAAAGCTTATCAGTAATCAAGGAGAGCTTGATTTATATTTTGGGGGGTCATGGCAGGACGATTAGGCTGGGGAATCCTTGAAGAAGGTTGGAGGAAAGGGCCTTGGACTGCTGAAGAGGATAAGTTGCTCACTGAATATGTCAGGTTGCATGGAGAGGGAAGATGGAACTCTGTGGCAAGGTTTGCAGGTAAATACTACTTAAATCCTCTGTTTTCAAACTGGGTCAGCTGTCTTTTGGTGTGGAAAAATCTGGGTTGTGACTAGAGTAGGTATCAAACTTGGCCTAGTGAACCAGTTTTTCTCAGATCAATTACCTCCCCTCTCTTCTGTAGATGAGATCTTTCATCACCACTAAGATATTTGTCTTACCTGATGAGTCGTGGGCATGGCTCGTTCACTAGGACTAATGAAATGCCAGTAGCTCTTTTGTTTATTTTATTTCACTTCATTTATGTATTTAGATGTGTCATACTTATTACTGGGTTTCAGGGTTGAAGAGGAATGGTAAGAGCTGTCGGTTGAGATGGGTGAATTACTTGAGGCCAGACCTCAAGAGAGGACAAATAACTCCATATGAAGAGAGGATCATCATGGAGCTACATGCTCGATGGGGAAACAGGTAATTAAGGCAACTGTATCATGTCTGAAGTTTCTAAACTTGGAGATTATGAAGCTTGATTATTATTCTGCAATTACTGGAAGATGGGTTCCATTCTCAGGTGGTCGACAATTGCAAAAAGCTTGCCTGGGAGAACAGACAATGAGATCAAGAACTACTGGAGGACCCATTTAAAGAAGGAGCACTCTGAAAGGTCGAAAACTCGATTTCGAAGATGGCAACAGCTTCAACAAAAGAAGCAGCAACTACAGCAGCAGCAACAACAACAGCTGCAAGAACAACATCAACAAAACCAATTTGACATGAAAAAAATCATGTTTCTATTTGATGAGAGTAACCATAGATTGTCATCTCTATCCCCAGTGAGGCAAGATATGGTCTTCATATATCCCAGCAACTCTGAGGAGCAATGCATGATGTCTTCCATGTTTAACAGCAGTGCCTCTGTGCAGGAGGCCTCAAGTGAGGAGATCCTATGGGGTGACCTATGGAACTTGGATGACATCCATGCCAACTTGGACACTGCCTGTTCAACCAGCAAAGCTAGCTTGCCAAATTTGGTCACTTCTTCACCTTCTGAGTTTAACTGAGTAGCCTTCAACTTTAAGCACAGTGTCTGATACTTATTGGTGTAAATTTTGTCTGATACCGAAAGGCAAACCTCTTATGGTTTAAGTTGGTATTTTATTAGACACGGTTATAATTAGGCCCAGTTATTTAATCTATGGAAAAGAAAATAGATGATATTTACCAATATTTTTCAGATAAGAAACCTGATATGGAAGAAAGACGAGATAAAATAGTTGAGCAAAGTTTAATTAAATAGATCTATCACGAAGTCGATTCATACGTCATGTTTTAGTGGTGAAGGATATTCTTATTGTGGATAGTATTTAAATAAATAGTGAATGGGAAATCATAATAAATAATAACTTGTGCACGAACTGTGTTTGGGAAAGCAAATAGATAAGGGTAAACAGAACACCACAATGAGGGTTCCCGCACCAGCTTGCAAGTGGAGTGATTAGGGAGGTGTTCTTCTGGGTTAAGAAAATGGGTCTAGAGATAATGCTATTCTACTCTCTAGTATGCTTAAGCATGTCAGCAGATCCTGCTTCAATCTCCCAAATGCAGGGAAGCAATAGGTGCCTTGTCTGTCCTTGTACTGTTTTTTAAGTCATCAGGCATCAATAAAATCTTTCTGCAATAACTATTGAACTATTCATACTGGCATTGCCCCATATCCCCCTGAATAAGGCCTGAAATGGATTTTGAGTTTGGTAGAAAATATTAGCAAAGGGCTATCTGCCTACATGTCTTCGTCTGGGCCTAGATATATAATTATTTTAAAGGCTTAAGCTTTCATGCATGAGACATACACTTTTTTTTTTCGGTATTGAAGCACTCGCCTTAAGGCATACACTTTGAGGCAAGGTGTACAAATGAAAAGAATAAAGCCTAGTAACAGTGTAAAAAGGTGTAGGCCTCAAAATATATGGAAAAAGCAGTTTAATTATTATGGGCCAAATGAAAAGCCAATAGGGAAAATCAAGTATTATTAGTTTTTCTTAGTATTTTAGGAAAATTCGATGCAAAAAAAGGACCGATCAAGTTCTTAATTTCTCTTGGATAAATCAAATGAGTTTTTTTCCTTATTATTCTAAATCTAACATCCCAAGTTTGTTATTTTTCTCATTTCTTTTCCTAATAGATTGTTTCCTTTCTTCTAAACTATTCAATTATATGAATGATTCTACATAAGTTTCCTTTCTTCTAAATTGTTCATTTGAATAATCTGAGATCATTGCATTTTGAAACAAGAAATGTAAAACGTTTATAATTGTTAGCTGATTAATTACTATTGTATTTAAAACTTAAACGCTTAGACTTATTGCTTATAAACTCCTATTTTATGAGTATTTGTACCTTCAAATGATTCCAACTTGATATATTATATGTTATTTTTATCAATTTATAAACTTTAATTTATTTTTCCCTTAAGCTTTGAGGCTTACACCCCACCTTTTTGGGCCATTACGCCTCAGTTATACCTTTAACCTTTTAAAACCTTGCCAGAATACAGAGAAAACAATTTCATCTCCACTTGACACATGGTGATTCAACTGTATTTTCTGAATAGCGGTTGGGCCAGGCCCAGGGAAAAGCTTTCTAAGACATTTCAGCATCATATTTACAATCCATCATGCACCTATTTTACAATCCAGAGTGTTGAACAACTATAACATGCTGGAAATATTCTATTGGATGGAAAATCAGGATGCTGAACTACCTTAACTCCTTTATAATTGCATGAATACATCATTTGAGTCCTGGACCCTTGCATCCAAATTTGTGCAAGGGATGGTTGTGGAATGCCTTTTTGGTATAGTTCTAGTACAAAAAGAACGATCCAACAGTCTTGTCCCAGTTACGAGATAGAGCACCCTTTTATCCCCCTTTTCTAGAATAGAGTAAAACATTTTGAACTATTTTCCTAACCATGTACTTGGTCTGCACCAAGTGAATGCTCTCTGAATACTCTCAGTACAGTTGAGCCCTTCAAATGATTTCTTATAGTATTATAACAACTTCAGGATTACAAAAAGAAAAGAATGCATAAATTTTAGTTGCTGCTTATGTAAACTCTAGGATAGGCATAGAAAAATAAAATTACTATCAAGTCTCAACAGATTGATCAAGGCAGATGAGATTCAACTCTAAGTTGACTCAAGCCAGATTCAGGGCCAAAATTTCACTGGATCTTTTCAATCAATAATTACTGTGGCATATTTCATAGTGTATTAGAAAAGCTCTAAATTGTAAACATTCTCAATGTTTAGGGTCTTACATTTAATTATCCAAAGATCAGTTGTGTAAAAAACAAAAATAGGATCAACCGTCTTTCCCTTGTAGATTACTTTTTTACAAAGTCAATATACTGTAAAATACCAGTGAATAAATTCTGATTATAATTGAAATATGACAGTGATTTTCTCTGTAGGTGGAAAAATGTAATTACAGAGGAAAGATTATTCAAATGCTTGAATTTTGGACTTCCTATCGGAGTGGTAGTGCAAATCTTGAGCATTCAGTCTGGATTGGTGATTACCTGCATCATATGCTCTGCCCATCTCAGTAATTGTTTTATTGGTAATTTGAAATTTTGTAAATTTGTGAATGAGAATGATTACAACATGAATGGTTGGCATGATATTTCTTAGTGATTCTCCAAGTTGAAGCCAGCAAAAATTCTCAGTATTGAGCATTCCTAAATATGGTATTTCAAGAGACAACACAACCAGCAAATTCCAAAATGCTTTTACCAATTTATCTCAACTTTGGATTTCTTGGTCAGGACTGCAGTTCGTGGAAAAGTAGGTTTTATTGGCCATATATTCATAAGTTAACGGTTGCCAATGATCTTTGCATAACATTGTACAAAGTAAATAGCATAATAGATCCACAAAATTTAGACAGATCTACACATGTCAAGTTGTCAACATGAAAAACAAATACTTGGGGGTCATAATTACCATCACAGATCACTTAATGACATGAGATGGGACGGGAAAAAGATGGGATTATAGGAATTTGGCTTTGGTCAGGGCAAAGCCCGTTCGAGCAACCTTTACTGCCTTTGCACTGAGAATATCTCCCTACTTGTATGCTTTATTTCATGGAAAGATATTCCCAATAAAAGGTTGCAAAAGGCTGTTAGAGCGGTGTTGGCACAGGTTTGCCCTGATGGAAATCGATCTCGGATTATAGATCCCAATTCTTGGGATGTGGAGTGTAAGAGTTAATACATGTAGGGGAAACTTATGTAACAAAAACAAACACCTTCCTTGTAGTATTTCCAAGAGTTAATACGAGATCCATGACCCACACATAAATTATTAATTATTTAATAAAATATTAATAAAACAATTTCACTAAAATAAATAATTAATAAAAATATTAATCAATAATAATTTAATGATTAATTATTTTTCCAGAATAAAATATTAAAATTATTAATTAAGTCATAAGTATTAATAAAATAAAATATAAACTAATAAAAATTAAAATATTAATTAATGTCAACAATTAATGTAAAATTAAAAATTAACAATAAAATATTTAATAATTAATTAAGTTACTATTTAATTGTAAATTAAATAAATATTTTATATTAATAATTTAATTAAAATAAATTAAAAGAAATAATTTATCTATAAAAATAATTTAATAGTTATGAGTAATTACTATTAAAAATATTAAAATTATTAATCAAGTCATAGGTATTAATAAAATATAATATTAATAATAACTTATAAACTAATAAAATGAAAAATATTAATTAATTAAAATAATTAATTAACTAACTATGGATTTTCAATAATTCATATCTAATGAATAATAAAATACTAATTATTAAAAAGTATTATTAACTAATTAATAATTAAGAAAAACTAGTTAATAATTAAGAAAAACTAGTTAATAATTAATTAACTAAGTAATTAATGAAAAATAAATAAGGATTTTACTATTAATCTAATTAATGATTCAATAAAAATAATTAAATAATAAAAATGTTAAATAATTATAAATAAAGTAAAATATTAATTAATTCTTAGTAAATATTAATAAAATAAATTTTAATATGTTAATTCTTAATTAATAATTAATTATATAATTATCGATATTAATTAGATATAAATTATTTCATTAAAATATACATAATTAATAATTAATAATAATAATAGAATATAAATTAATAAAATTATTACTTTTACTAGGGTTGATTTTCCCACTTTTTTTCCCTTTTGCAACCAAAATCTTTCCTTTCCCATCCCATACTTTCCCATCCCACCAAAATCTTCCCACAAACCAAACAGAGTCTAAGAGAAAACCATTGAACCTGTTTTGGGAGAGAATTAGGACTTTATCTCCCCTAAAACAGTCAGATTAATAATATATATTAATAATAAAATGTATCCATACAAGAATACCCTGCCGCCCATGTACTTAAAGATATACTAAACAGCTCTCTCGACATCTTCTCATAAATATGTTGATTTTCTATGTTTTGATATGAGTTTGTACTTATTTTATGGGGATAATGGTAATTATAATTAAAGATTACCACTTATTACTGTGAAACCTAGGGAACTACCATAGGATTTATATATTTTTTATTTTAAAAAACTCATTGACTAGGTAACTAGACGACAAGGCATCCCTTCGTTGCCTAGCTTTGCCTTGGCACTTTGAAAACTATGGTTTGTTGATTGGATTGATTCTTAGGGTTTTGGTCCCACTTCTCTGGTTGGCAGACCAGTTTCTTTCCTTATTTGGACTGTTAATATCATATTAATCTTTCAGCCAACTATTCTTGGATTGTATTACTTCAGTTTGGTGCCATCTTGCATTGTGGAGCTGTATTACTTCAGATGGCTCGAAAGGGACTTTGAAATGGAAGAAATCAGGGGAGCTGTGTTTTCAATGGACAGATCTAAACACCAGAACCAGAGGGGTTCAATTTGGCTTCTTTCAAGATTGTTTGGAAATAATCAAATCAGATTTGTGTTAGGACTTTGTTGAACTTGTTGAGGATCATTTCATTAATCCCGGGATAAACTCTACTTTTCTAGCTCTGATACCTAAAAAGGGAGATGTTATCCAACCTAAAGATTTTAGTGACGAGTATCTACAAAATTGTGGCAAAGTGCTATCTTTGAGGTTAAGAGCAGCCCTTCCAAAATAAATCAATCGCAAGGGGCTTTCATCCAAGGTAGATAGATTACTGACCAGATTCTAATAACTAATGAGAGTGTGGAGGACTTCAAACAAAGGGGAGAGAAAGGATTAGTGTGTAAATTAGATCTAGAAAAAGCTCATGACATAGTAGACTAGACTTTCCTGTTGGAAACCTGGAGGAATTATGGATTTGGTGAGAGGTGGTGCAGATGAAATAGAAGGGTGTCTAGAAACTTGTTATTGTGTGGTCAGAGACTTCTTTCCGGTTACTAGAGGATAGACAAGGTGACCCACTATCCCCTTTCCTCTTTACCTTGATAGTTGATGTGCTCAATACTTATTGGGAGAGTAGATAGGTTAGACCTAATAAGAGGGTGGAGGGCAGGAAGGGAAGGCACAATTGTAACCTATTTGCAATTTGTGGATGATACGATCATTTTTTGTGAGACAGGGGATACACATAAGGAAAGAAATTTGAAATGGATGATAAAGTTGTTTGAACTTGTTTCCAAGCTAAAAAACAACTTTGAGGAGAGTTGTGTTGTGGGGGTAAATCTGGAAGAGGAGTTGACTAGGGTAGCGGAGTCTATAGGTTGCTCTACTTCTAGTTGGCCTTTGAAATACCTAGGAATGCCTTAAGGAGTAAGCCCAAGGGAAAGTAGGTTTTGGAATCCGATAGTAGAAAATTGTGCAAAGAAATTAGCAGCTTGGAAGAGGAGTTATGTGTCTTTTGGGGGTCGTATCACTTTGATAAAAGCTACCGTAGCGAATCTTCCAACTTACTTTCTTTGTCTTTAGGACGCCACAACAGGAGGTATTGAAAGTAGAAAAGATCATGAGGAACTTCCTATAGGAACCTAGTGAAGATAGAAAGGATCATCTGGTTAGATGGGAACAAGTGTGCAAGAGGAGGGAGCAAGAGGGTCGGGATTAGGTAACCTAAGGAAGAAGAATACAACTTTGTTGGGAAAATGGTTGTAGAGGTGGCACTAGAAGGGGATAGGCTTTGGCATAAAGTTGTGGAGAGCATTCATGGAGTTGCAGGTAATGGTTGGGATGCTGGTGTATCTCAGTGGGCTACTTTGAACTCTCCATGGAAGGTTATACATAGCATTCTTCCCTAGTTCCTTAGCCTGGTCAAGTATGACATATGCTCTGGTGACAAGGTTCCGTTTTGGGAGGATGTTTGGATTGGTAACTCTACCCTCAAGGGTCTCTTTCCTTCTTTGTTTTCCGTTACCCTCCTTAAAAATGAACCTACGTAGAGGTTTGTGACTTCTTCTCAATCTTCTTGTTTAAGTTGGAATTTGGGTTTTAGAAGAGACTTGATAGACTCTAAACTCCAACTTGTTGCTCAGCTTCTCAAAATTCTCGACCCCTTTTTCTTGGACCCTTCTGAGCCCGATGCTTGTGTTTGGACCCCAAACCCCTTAGGCTCCTTTTCATGTGCTTCTTTCTTTTCCTCTTTGTGCTCTGTCCCTTCACCTCAACCTCTTCATTAGAAGAAGATTTGGTCCAAACCTATCCCCCCTAAAGTCGGAACTCTATGCTGGGAAGTGACTCTGGGGAAATTAGACACCTTGGACATGTTGCAAAAAAGAAGACCTTGTTTTCTCTGTTGCTACAGTAGTCCGAACCAGTAGAAGAGGAGAAGAAGAAGAAGAAGAAGATGAAGATGAAAGAACAGTCGAACCTAATAGGTTAAACCCTATTTGCCGACCCTTAATATTGATTAGGCTCTAATTAGTAGTATAAAGACTAAACTGCCCCCACTTAAGATGAAAGCTGTACTTTCTGCATCATATTTGATAAACCAGATGCCATCTAAGGTGTTGGGTATGAAAACCCCTTTCTCTGTTTTGTGYCCCACTCTTCCAGACTTTCCCCTTCCTCCTCGGGTCTTTGGTTGTATATGTTTCATACATGTGAAGGATCCAAAGAAGACCAAGCTGGATCCTAAGGCTACAAAGGGAATA